TGAGAAGGTCTCGGCGGCCGGCGGCCCCTCAATGTCCGTGGACAGCTGTCTCTTCAGCTTGTTGCGGCGGTTCTGGAACCAGATCTTGACCTGGGTCTCTGTGAGCTGCAGGGAGCTGGCGAGGCACGCTCTCTCCGAGCTGCTCAGATACCGCTTCATGTCAAAAGTCGCCTCCAGCTGAAATATCTGTCTCTTGGAGAAGATGGTGCGCGTCTTCTTCTTCACCATAGCTCTGGCGTCCACCGTGGCCTGCTGCTGTCGCTGCTGCTGCTCGGACGCGTCCTGGGCGCTGGGTGAACTTTGCGTACCTGGACAGGAACCAGCGGCCCGCGGAGGTGTGTTTTCCCGTCGGTCTGCGCGATGGACTCTGGACTTCACTGTGAACGAAGCGACAAAACGTGCTTTGATGCAGTGGTAAAGTGAAACACACACCCCTGTTACTCCGTGCGCAATGCAAAATGGCTGCACAGATATTGAACCAATTAATAAAACATAAAATAAATAACGAGCCCCAGTCAGAAATCTTCATCCTTAGGCGATATACTGTCAGGAAATGTTTACTCATGATCTGCCTTTCAAAGCTGCTGTAAAAACAGCCTAACACTTAAGAGACATAGTAGATAAAGTCCAGTGGAGACACTTCCTCAGCCTCTTCACTGGTTTATCACTTATTAAATTCCCAGAGTTACCTGTGTTCTCTGACCCGCTGCCATGTCTCCTCCGGACGCTCCATACATCCTCATCCCGAGCTTGAAACCCATTCTTACATCCACTGTCCCTCTGCTCCTTTGAGGCGTTAAAGTCTCCGCTGTCCCGCTGCTTCAAGTTGAGGATGTTGTCAATGGTGAACGTCAAAGAAGCGCTCCGACTCGGGGCGTCCTCTTTCCTCATATTCCCTGGCATTTCATCTGCTCCTCCGAGATTCCCGACACACCGATGTCCCCGGACGTTCCGTGCACCATTGCGCCTCGGCTGCGAATAGCGCACAGAGCAGCCGGCGCGACGTTCATCACTGAGCCGGAAGACCGCTGTTTAGCAGCGTTTGATTGGTGAGGCTGTGGGGGCAGATGAGGGCGGGATGCAAATTTGCGTCTGGCTGCCATATTGTAGCTCTAAACACTTTCCTATCATAGGAACTTATGCGTGCATGTTCACTGCGCCGGGATACTGAGCGAATCAGGACAGTGCGTGACTCCTGTTGAGTTTCACACCTCGGAGTTGGCTTCACTGCGGGGTCACATGAGATTTCTACCACTGATATGGTTTTTGTTTCCGTATTAGCATCTGATATCTTGGCGATCCGGTTCTACAGGGTCATGAGAATTATAGGGCGCAAAATTCAGGGCTCACACCTCCTCAGTTCGATTCAACTTGTTTGTATATTACCAATTTACAACAACAACTGCCTCAGAGCACTTTACATAATCAGGTCTTGCACTATTATACGGAAAATCCAACAAATTCCCTCCAGGAAAGCAAAAGTTCACTTTAATGCAGTAACTTGTGGTGTTTGTTAGTTTCTCTGTTCATCTCGGTGGGTATCCGGTCATCCTCATCAAGTCTACAGTCTGAATTCATCCATTAAACGATTGGAACACCCGGTTTAAATTCATTAAACTCACCAGATGTAAAAGCTTAAGTCAGTTTGAGTCAGAAACCACAAAACAATTTGTGCATTCATTTTATTCACAGCTGATTAGTGTACAAAGTTCAGTATTAGAATCCTCATAAATAAAAACAGTCAAAGATGAATCACACAGGCTGGGCTGCAGGCAGCGACCACAACATCCAGCATCTCAAACACAAATGTCTTTTCATTAACGATCAAGTTCAAAAGAGGCAGTGCATAAGTTACAGGCTCAAACTAGATATAGTTGGAAAACAACAGACGAAGACTTAGAAAACCAGTGAAATCATTTGTGAATGTAAGATTTCTAGTGAGTTTGAATATAACCAAATACAGAAGAGCTTGTAAAGTTTGGCACAGAGATTATCTGTAAAAGCAAAGCTTGTAAAATGATGTATGTTTGTCTTTGTCTTCGTTGTGTGAACTTCGCGTTTCAGACACATCTGAGCAGTTTACCCTTTTTGAAACATCTCCATTGATATAATTTGTTCACCCTTTTTGATTTTAGCATTCCCAGATCTTCTACTGAACTTCGTCTTTTCTATGCTTTCATGTTCCTGTATTTGAGTTTTTTCATAGGTTTACAAAAGCTGGTGAATCTTATTTTGCCTTATTTGAGCCTGTATGCACGAATAATTTATGTGAAACCCAGGATTGGCAGCTTCAGTAGTCCAAAAATATCCATCATCGTTGCTACATTTATCAAAGAGTCTTAAAATGACTTGTATTTAAACTAAGCTGGGGGGAAATGGCTGATGAGGGGGAGAAATGATCTTGTTTAGGGTTTTTTAAATGGCCATAGTCTACAGTAGATCATCTTTAATCTACTGTAAATCTGGCTGTATTTGTTAAACTTGTCTAGAAACATCTAAGAAACGGTTAAACACAGGATGAATCATCTCCACTGCAGTGGAAGAAGATGAACCTGAACTAAAATGGACATTTTTGCAGCTGCATTATTTGAATAATTGGTGTCAGAACATTACGGTGGGTTTTCATGGCCTCACTTCCAGCCCTAAAGTCATCTGTGGTGTTAGAAGCGACCCCAGATCAGTGGGTAGTTAACTTGAAAAGCCAGCCACTGGTGGTCACATTCTCGTGATACAGCACGGGAACGCCAACGGCCCTCTGGGCATCGTAGGGGCCGCTGCTGGCGTCCACGTCCGCAGCAATCTGTCTCTTCCACTTGTTTCTGCGGTTTTGAAACCAGATTTTCACCTGGGCCTCCGTGCGCTGCAGCGAGGCCGCCAGCCCAGCTCGCTCCGAGCTGCTCAGGTAGCGTTTCAGTTCAAAAGTGGTCTCCAGCTGGAAGACATGACTCCGGCTGAACACGGAGCGCATCTTCTTCTTTCGCATCACCTGGAAAGCAGACAGATTTGGCTAAATGTAGTAGATGCAACTCATAGTGTAGCTTTAATGGCTGCAGGACATATAATTTACATGCATGGTGAGGAGTTTTAGCTTGTGCAGACGATTAGAGCAGAAGGTGTACAGTTTATTTTTTAGGTTGGGGTGTAGCCGACGTACGTTGATCTCACCTGTGTCGCAGATGTCCTCCCGAGAGAAGCAGGACGATGGAGCATCGCCATCCGTCAGACTATGGCCCCTACTTTCCTCCGGTACATCGTTCTCCTCCACCCGCCCCATTGAAGGTGGGGAATCCCTGTCTCTGGTTGGCGCAGGATGTTCACCTTGGTATGGTAGACCTACGAAGAACGTGGAAGAAACTACACACTGTTCAACCCAACCTGGTTTCGTATCCCTACAACGAGAAGCAAACTGAGCTCTTCACATTTTGCTCTTTAGCAAATTACGCACGTTCATGCGCAGTGTCCTCTCCAAAAGTCTAAATAAGCTCCAGGTCTCCGCTGCTGGTCAATCTGAGGCACTGGAGTGATTTGTTGTGTGGATGCCAAGCACTGTTGGCTCGTACCACGCTCATAACGGGGGAGTTGGGTGTTTTACGCACGGAGTTGAGGAGAGTTCCACTCGTTATTGAAGCACCAGAGTCAGATGTTTTGGAGAAAATGATGAAAGCTGAGGCTGCTGCAGCATTACTCTGGTCCAGGGGGTAATTCTACACGTTTACATCATTCGGATTATTCCACAATTAGGCTGCCACGACACCGGTAAACTGTTTTAATCCCGATTCAAACAGAGTTATCCGAAACAGGCTAAATGAAAACGATCATGTTTTCACCGCTTTGATCATTATAGAGAAAAAACAGTCTTGTGCACTCACTTCTGGAGCTGCCACACGCTGTGATGGCTGCTGTCCCCCTAATGTTCGGCCCCTCGGTGGATGTTTCCAGCTCCTCTGTGGACGCGCTCCTCAGCTGAAGCCTCTCTGTCTGTAGTTCGCAGGAAGTTTTCAATGTAAAAACACGAACTTCTCGCTGGAGGACCGAGCTTCGTTCTCATTTTGACTGTCTTTCCCAAAGCCTCTTAAAAATGACCAGATTTAGATGTTATAAAATCATTTATGGGAATATGTCTTATTTCCAGACAGGAGTCTTTTCTGCTCCGCGTAAACCATACCGACCAAATCCAGGAGAGGACAGCCTGATGCGTGCTTTTGGGAGAAATCTAGACTCCCCCCCCGACAAACTCTCTTGGTTAATCCGTAGAGAGGAAAAGAGGAAGAATCTCTGTGGAAAAACCTCGAGACGGTGGGGGTCAGAACCTCTGTGCAGGCTGTGCTGTGGACGCCTTGAGGGACGCGGAGTCCTGAATTTAGGTCAGATATGGAGCAAACTGAAGCAGAGATGCAGCGTTGTCCTCGGGGCTGGAGACGGAGAAAGCTCCATAAAGAATGACACACACACACACACACACACACACAGACACACACACAGTACCGCCTACTGGTTACATCTGTCCATGCACAGTCCATCTTTACGGGACGTTATAAACTAGGAGTACGTCTCCACTGTTACTTACATAATTAAAATAAAACTCAACTTCCACTAGGTTGCCTTTCCCATTAATGATAATCCTTCCATGGTGCAGCCAAACCAGGCATTTTACAGTTGGTTGACTTTGCCTTTTTATTTATAGATGTTGAATGTTGCAGCTGCCTTCAAGTGTTAAACTCTTCCAGCATTCATCACTTGAAAAAATTATTATTGGTTTATGAATATTAAATTAGGCTTAAAGGACCAGTCCGTGATTTAAAGTCCAGCACTGGGCCTAAAACAGTATCTCACTTTCAAAGTGACAGTGAAATCACATCACTGTGAAGAAATCATTCAGAAGCCTAACGTGAACACTGGAGTGTAGGTGAAATCATGGACTGGCAGTGTGCTCCAGTTAATGGGTTAGTTAATGCTTGGCTTCTGTGCACAGCAGAGTAAAACACCACAGCATTTTGAGCCGTAATAGGGTTGAAACTTTCATCTGTAAGCAGCCTTGAACAATTCCCCATGAACATTCCAGGCTGCACGTTTTCAGGCTGTTGATCAACTCTTCTCTGCTGATTTTAGCATAGAAAGGACGACAAGACGCTGCAGTGAACAGAAGAATATTATAACATCCTCGTGCAGAAATACTGTATAATGTGGCAGAAACCTTTTCTCTCATTTTTAATATTGTATATCATGCTGGTCTCAGGTCAGTAAAACTGCTTAGATGTCTTTATAATCAAACTTCAAGAATTCTGGATAGGAAATACAATACGCTGAAGTTTGAGAATCTTGTGCTCTGATATTCGTCTGGCGTTTGAAAATGCAAACCACTGGGTCAGCTGTTAGTGGAGAGTGTTAAAATGTGTTTATCCCATTCCTGAAATGAATAATCTCCCCGTTGTAACAAAAATGTGCAACTTTAAGTGCATGTTTGATACGTGCATGGAGGTGAGGAGGGGTGGGAAGGTGTTGGCCTCGGTATATTGAATGAGTTTTCTACTACGATATTTAGCAGTTTGTTAAAATAAAACGTACAATTTGAAGTTTAAAGTAGCAGAAAATGGAAATTCTAAAGTACAAATACCACAAGTTGTGCTGAAGTTAATTTTCACCATTGTATTTTTGTTTATGACTCCTAGTCTCTGCAAATGTTTTTCAATAGTATTACATGGGTAAAAAATGTGTCTACATTAGAAAAAAGGAATCTTTAGATTTTAATCCTAAAGTGTTTTAACACTGAAACTCAGCTGATCTGCTTCATCAGGACCCTGACATCAGATTCAAATGTTTCTGGGTCCTGATTGGTTCAAGCACATGACATCTCATTTTCAAAATAAAGCCAACGTCAGACAGTAAAAGAGCAAAGGTTCAGAGAATCGAACAAATCTATTAATGTCTCATGTAGGAGCTGTCACTGCTTTCTTTTCTCTACAGTATTTGGATGTTGGACACAGTGAAGTCCAAAAGTGACTCTTTGATCAAACTCAGCAGCTTTCCAGATGATGAACTAGAGGTCTGGGGTGAAGGTGTTTACAGCCTCCACCTGAAGTGGCTGGTAATGTTTTGAGGCAAAGTGGAAGCATATCGGGTCATAACATTATAAAAATTCTGAGGGCCCCATTTCACAGATGCTTGCATGAGTCTGCAAGAGTAGCTGAGGGGTCAGGGAGTGTTGAAAAGGCGCGGGGCGATGGGACATTCTGCTTTTACCCAGCAAGTAATTCAGACAGATGTGTCTCTGTGTCGCTTTGAAGCTAGAAATGATCTCATGCCCCTTCGACAACATTAACACGACACTTCCTTTCCTGTCTCGCTTCATCTTTAAGCACAGAGGCATGTTCAAAGTCTCCTGATTAATGATGGCACTGCAGCCTTATGAGGAAGATGTGACACAGTGCAGAAGCTCTAAATGACCTGAACGCCAAGAAGAACCCCTTTGTATTATGTACAAATGCAGTCAGTTTTCTAATTCACTCCATTTGAGGAAGGAAACATAATAATTGCTAAGTTAAGCTGCAAGCGCTATTTGACTAATATTTGCAATAGTGGGAGAAAAAATGTTTGCAAATGATCCATTACAAGTCCTCTTCACAGTTTTACTGATGTAGGTCACACACGCAGTAGCAAAGTGCACTCCAAGTATCGACGTTATGCAGAACGCCCCCCCTCTCAGATATACCACGCTATAGTATGTGAAATTATTGTTGTTTTAATAAAACCGGAGTATTTAGCACAGAGCTGTAATGAAGTAGAAGTACCTCAAACTGCACTCAGTCACTGCACTTCACTGTTATTTTGGTTAAATAGTCCCAGAGAAAAGCTCATCACTGTCCAGGCTGCTGATGACTGATTTTCTGTTTTCAGCTCATCCACAACAGGAGACAGATGGGTTTTCAATCCAGCATCATTTATCAGGCTATATGTCTGTCTTGTTGTATGTCTAGTAATAGTCTGAAGGGGAATCCTCCGCATCGTTATTTCTGCCATTATGTTGCTGAGGTCGAAGCCATGTCGTCTATATGAGGTCGGCAAGTTCCAGACCTCATAGGTCTGCCTTGAAGAGAGCCAGTCAACCAGAAAGCCCCGCTACACCACAGTGAGCGTGCAGCTATTGATGAATGTCTGATTTTTTACTCTCCTGCAGCTCCTGCTCACCCTGCCCCTCTAGTCTTCATAGTCAAAATGCTGGATCTGTACTTTTCAGCTTTTACACGTGCTGTTTCTCCTACAGGTGATGTCACATAGGTCAGTGTCTGTGTTTCCTACCTGCCCAGAAGCTCCAGAAAGAGCACTCCAGATTACATCCATTGAAAGCGACGCATACTTTTCCTGCTTTAATCCCTTTTAGCCCTCACCTCAGTGCACCCAAACCCCCGTTCATGGGGACAAAGCAAAAGGCATTTTGGAAGCTGTTTAGTTGGTTGCAGAAGCTTTTGCAGCTTCACGCAAAATCCTGTTAACAAAAACTAGCTTCTTGTTTTTGGCTTTATCGGTTTGTTTCTCAAGCCTTGACCTAAAACACATTCAAAACTCGGCTGGAATAAACTATTAATGCCTGTTTTTTTAACCTTTGAATGGCAGATTAACCCCTGTTAGAGGCAGCTTGTCAGTTCAGTACAAAGGAGGGAGAAGCTTGATATTTTAATCAAATTATGGTCTAGTGCCACACACCCCTGTCCCTTTCTCTGTGTCCGAAAGAGAGAGAAAACCTTCTTCACTGAAGAAAACTGGAGAAAATTCCCATAGGATTTTGCGTCATTTTCCTGTTTTTCCCTTTTTATCTTCACAAAAAGTGAAAACACTTCAAGGATCATTGGCTTTTTTTTCTGTGCACGCTAAAGCAGTTTAGGCTAATGAGGGCAGGTCCAAATCTACAGAGGCGGTGTTTTATCCCTCATGGGTGGGGGTGGGAAAGATGGAGCGCCTCTGATGGATCACAGGCCCAGCACAGGCTTATGGGACATCAGATCAATGAGAACACATCACCTTCCTTGTAATAGCACTAATGCCTCTAGCTGTGTCAGGAACCGGGGCCAAATGTTAATGCAGCACATGATCACTGGGATAATTTCAGCTAAATAATAACTAGGAAAACATAAAATAGAGCGTCTTCTCTCGAGCGCACGCCCTTTGACCCATCACTTGATTGTTCAGATGGTTTTACGCACAGATTTAAGTAGATCTGTTAGTTGTGAGAAGCAGATCAGAGGGACGTGGAGCTGAAGAGGCAGAGCGCTCTGGCTGCAGGAGAGGTCAGAGCACTTCTGTCATATTAGCGTCTACACAGAGTCTGTGTTTTTCATTAAGTCGTGCCCCTGAAGGCCAGCTGAGAGCGCACAGGCTGTTGGAGCTGCAGGGCCCTCTACTGCTACACCCCATTTAAGGATGGGAGTTTTTCATTTTGGTAAAATCCACTTTACAAAGTATTAACTTCGAACAGCAGTTTATATTATTTCTTGTGAACTCTGTTGTGAAAGCTTGCATTTTTTGTTCTGTAGTTAATTCAGGAAACTTCATATTAGAAATGACTGACGTGATTTTGAATTATTTTACAGTGTGGAAAGACCTGAATATTCTAATTTTCTTATATTTTTTCTGTCTAAGTCGTGTTTCATCTGTATTCAGTGTTTAAAAATGCTTTTCTCTGTCGATCGTGCCAAATCTCCGCCAAGTCTGATGACCATGTGATTAAACAAACCTGCAAAGGGGCAGGGCAAGAAAAGCCAGAAGCGGTATGAAAGAGTTTGTTTTAATGTTTGCCTGCAGGACATTTTTACAGGAAGTCGTGTTTTCTCACTCTTGTCCCCCAAGACCCCAGATTTTAGGCCCTGCAACTGGCCTGTAATCCAACCTGTAAGCAACAAGGTTACAGGGATTTTGA